TTTGCTACTCCCGGCGTCGTTGTTTGCTACATGCTTCACAACTTAGCTACGACGTGCGACGATGGCGGCGGCGTTTTTGCTACAACTACCACTGGATTTTGCTACATCCGTTCATGGATTAGCTACAACCCGCGACAGGGCGACGACGTTTTGCTGCAACTATACTTCGGTTTCGCTACCACCAGCGAAGACTTTTGCTACATCCATTTAAATGGAGTTCATTGGCAGCCATCGTTCGTTTGACCCTGCAAGCGCGTCGACGGATGGAAAAAAGCTTCAATCGGTATGAGGAAAAGCTTCAACCAGCATGAGAAAAAGCTTCCACTGGGTGCGAGTGGCGACACTGAGTGATGCGGTCGGAGGCATGATGGTGTGGCGACGGGCGTGCTATGACGACGACGACTAGGTGCTGCAACTACAGATACGTCGAGCGTTTTGCTACGACGGCGTCGTTTTGCTACGAGTGGAGGCGAGGAACCGACGAGGACGGGGATGCGAAGGCGACCACCACCGATGAAGGCGGCGTCCTATGGAACCGACGGAGTCAGCCGGCAGCAACGAGGGCGGCGACTGGCAGCGACGAGCAGCACGACGTGGACGGCCGACGAGTTGGCTTACGTATTTAGAAACATGGGGCTGCTCGGGATGAACTTGACAGGCTGTTTTTTAGTAGCGAAACAGTTGGAAAAGAAGGAATCGTGTGGCTGTTATAAACCGAATCGTATATACACGGTTAGACCGGCCAAATTTTCGGCCGGCGGACCGACGCGTATCACTTGCTTTTTTTAGCTGGCGTATTGCTACTTGGAACAGGCAACAGGAGCTCCGCGTTACAAAGGCCATGTTTTTATGGACAAGCAGGAAAAATGACTTTTACGTGGCAATGTTGGAACACATCAAAACTACGTGCACAAACTACTTCCCCCCCACTTGCTTCCTCTAATCTAGATAAAAAAACTAAATGATTAGAGCTGAGTCGTACGCATAGTGTTTAAATCATCTCCTATTTTGTATTTATTATGTTGGATTTGGACTAGTGATGATGATCATATTATGGATTCAAATACCAGATTAAATCGCATCAAATTCTCAAATTCTAATATGGCGCGTTAGCGTATCGAAACCGGACATCATGGATGTTAAGGCTAGATACTGGTTCATCTTGTAGATGACTTTAACAAAAGAGATCATTGGCATGTTGGACCCCGAATAACTAAGGAACATTCCCTTGGGGAGGTGGTCCTAGCGATCAACTCATTCCCCTGTGTATTATGATCCAATGAACATTGTTGTTCTCTAGAGGGAATCCTCGGCAAGGAGACCCGACATTGCCGTTGTTGTTCATACTCACCATGGAGGTACTGCACTACATGTTCACTCATGCGGAGAGATCGGGCTGGTTGGCACCTTTGGGTGGCAGAGGGTTGAGCCAGCGCTAGTCTATCTTCGCCGACAACGTAATGTTGTTCTTGAGGCCCAATCAGATGGATATCACGGTCTGTTCTGCAATTCCAGAAGATTTTGGGGAAGCATCCGACCTTCGAACGAATACACAAAAGTGCCCGGTCATCCCAATCAGATGCTCGGCCAAGGACACAGACAGGTTGACTGCGGACTTGGGATGCCCTCTGGGTTGCTTTCCCTACCGGTACCTGGGCCTTCCACTCTACATCAGGAAGGCGCAGTTCCAAGGAATCGTAGATGGCATCCAGAAGAAACTTCCAACATGGCGGGCGGCTTCGATGGATAAGTCAGACCGGCTCATCCTTGTGCAATCGGTCCTGAGTGCCATGCCGGTCCATTCAACGCTTGCTATGGAGGTGCCTCCAGAAGTGGTCACCTCTATCATGAGAATCTGCAGAAGCTTCTTTTGGGTGGCTCGGGACCGTGCAAGTGGAGGCAGCTATGCTGTCGCATGGGAGACCGTGTGCACACCGAAGTGGACAGCATGCCTTGCTCTCCCAAATCTAAAGTGGATGAGTGCGGCCTTGATGACGTGATGGCTATGCCTAAAAAGAGTGGACGGTGAGAGACCGTGAACTGAGTTTGAGATTTCAGTCCCCTCAGGATCCATGGCCATCTACAGATCGGCGGTGTTTGTGGATATAGGGAGCGGCACGAACACGTACTTCTGGGAAGACAGGTAGTTGGAGGGGGCGAGAGTACGGGAGGTTGCGCCAAAACTCTATGACTGGGTTCGAGCTCAGGTGAGAGCATCCAGGACGGTGCAGGAGGCCTTGGCCAGAGCATGGCCCCATGACATTGGTCCTGATTTGAATGCAGAGGGATTGGCGGAGTACCTTGCGCTATGGGAGTGCATATCAGTTATGGATCAAAACCCGGAGTTGGAGGACCGCATGCGATGGGTGTGGGAGCCTTCTGGCACCTTCTCAGTCAGCTCGGCATACCATTGCAAGTTCTTTGGATGGATGAAGGACCCTGCTACCACAGTCAGCTAGGAAAACTACGCTCCGCTTCGATGCAAGATATTTGCTTGGCGTGCATTCAAGAACCGTTGTTGGACATCCGATCGTTTAGTGCGAAGAGGCTTGCCGCATCAAAGAGGTATGCCCTTTGTGTGATCAACTACCGGAAACCATGGATTATCTGTTGGTGGCGTGCATCTTCACGAGGACGATTTGGCATAGAGTGTGGGCAGCTTGGGGAAGGCCAGAGTGGACACCAGGGGAGGAGGGTCAGCTAGTCTCTTGGAGCTCATCCCTAGATGAGGACATATGATGCTGCAAGGAGCTCAATTCCATTCTCCTCCTGGTTATGTGGGAGACGTGGAAGCACAGGAACTCAATAGTCTTTGATAGTGCGACTTTGTCGGCAAATAGACTTCTGGGTAGGATCGTTAAAGAGGGTAAGGCCTAGTGTATTGCTAGGCTGCTGAGCCAAGGGCTCTTTTTGTTCTTCGATAGGTTGTCTACGTGGGTGAGTAGCGAGGAGTATACGTATCTCTCGGCCTTGTGCCATCCTTGTAAAAACATGGCGGGCCCCCCCCTTTTTCTTCTATGAATATGAG